TCATATTAGATGTTTGTGAAGTCAAAATACTAAGTCTATAGTTTTGTACAAAAAACCGATATTGACAAGCTAGAATATAAAATATGAGCCTCTTATCTTTTCAATTTGCTAAGATATTGCTCATGTAATAAATCAAATACAGTGGCACCCCTCCCATCTCTTTCATTTTTGGAAACATTCACTTATATACACTTACTACTATATATAACATGAATAACCAATCAGAAATTCAGAATGTCCCACTAGTGGCTTTCTCATCCCTTTTAATGGACTTGGTGCCATTCCTTTCTTTTGAACCAATATTTCAATGAGGTAGGGTGTGTCTTTAGTATGCTTGAAATTTAATATTCTTTTAGACTAAAATACATCTTAGTTACTAAGCTTGATAAATTGTAGTGGAATTCTATGGTATTAATGTAGTAATTTATAATTTTTTAGTTATTCAGATGTATATATAAAACCTAAAAACACTATTTTTGTTTCATATCCTCCACATGCAATTTTTTTAAAGGCTTAGCAACTGAGTACAAAGGTTGTAACTAGAAGAGATAATTGTTTGCTTTACTTCTTTAGTTACTGTTCTATATTTTAAGAAAAATAAATTTAAGAACTTATTTCAAAAGAGCCATAATTGATATACATATATAATGTATAATAATTGAAATTTCACTGTATTTTACAAAATACTAGTCTACTAAAACACAGCCAAGACAAAGTTACTTTGCACAGACCAAAGGTCAGTTTTATGTTATTTGATATGGTAACGTGTGCATGAGAGTCACGTCATTGTAATTTCAGTATTGTTAGCCAGGCATGGCTGAAAGGTCAATATAATAAAAAATAATAAATATATATAGATGTATAATGTTATGAGATTTAACCTATTTAATCTAAACATTTATGTTTTTGTGTTATAATTTCTGTTCATTCTAGAATAAAAGAAGCATAATTTATATTTATTTCCTAATTTTTTATGGTGGTTGTGAGATGGTCAAATCTACAGAACCCATACAAAGATTAATTACTGAAAATAACAGATAAAATATAAAGTTTTTTCTTAAGAAATGTTTGATAACTATCTGAACATTATAAAGATTTTGCATGTGAAATTTGAAAAACATTTACCTTACAAATCCTAAGACTTAATAAAAAAAAAATGATATTTTGCATATGAAAGCATTGTAATATTTACTGATAAACTGCCAAATTTCATTAACATTCGCTTACTAATTTAAAAGTTATGGCTTAAACTATAACAAGCACAAAATGGTTATGAGGTTGGTCCCAGGGACTGAGCTTGTGCTGAAAGAGCTAAACTGTAATATTTTTATATAATAAAAGTGGTACTACATTTAAAAATTACATCAATAGAGAAATAATCAAACCCTCACGTACATTTTTAATGAGAGTCGTGTTCTTCCTTTGAGGAGAGTACTTTTATTTAAAATTGTGTTCTATTATAATAAAGTTGTGTGAATCTTGAATATCCAAAGTGTGAAATTTTGTATGGATTTTTGGTTACATACATAGAATACTAACATACACACTACATCCATTATAGTAAGATACTTTTGTGGAGTGTCAAGGAAAAGTGTTTGTTTTGTACATTCATGAAAATGTCAAAAATTATGAACAACTAACCCACCACTTTTGTAAAAACTAATTTTTTATGTAAATTTTTAAGGAAAAAATTGGCTGCTAATAAAAATGTTAAAACATTATTTATTACTGTAGAAATTATTGTTTTAGTAACCTGTATACTTCATTTAGTGTTTGACAGTAATCCTGAAAGTAGTATTGAATCTTTTATTTTGTGAATTTGAAGGGGTTATTAAACTTTTTGTTTGATGTGATTGAATCACTAAGCATTTTGTAAGCTTAAAGATGGCTCTAAACTTATGTTAAAAGTTTGAAGTAGTATTAAACTCAAAATTTTTTAAGCAAGAATTACAGAGGTTGTAACAATTTTATAAGTTAAATGAAACTAAGTTACTTAATAAGTTGCTTTAATGGTGGTAGTAATTTTGCAAAATGGTGCTAACTTTTTATTTTTTAAGTTTGAAAATGATATTTGAAATTTTATGTATATTTTAGTGATTTTTTGTAGATTTTGAACCTGCAATTTTCAAGGCAGTTTTTTGACATTTTCGTTCTTTAAAAATATTTACCATTTACTAGGTTACATGTTGTTAGCTGGTCGTGTTCGTCGTCCTGAAGAGGCCAAGATCATTCAGGGGGTATTAGAAAAGCATATCAAGCGAAAAGTAGACCCTGTGAAACTCTTCACTAAAGGCCAAAATTCTTCTTCCACAACACAAAGTCTTTTAAATGATGTTACTGAATGTAAACTTCCTGAAAGTTTTCAACATTTGGTGTGGACTTACAACATACGGAGGCTTGCTGTGCTAGTTGGTCAAGCACTCCAGTTTGGTGAACCAGTACTTTTAGTGGGTGACACCGGGTAAGTCTAGCTTTCTGCCAATGGCTTTTTTTTTGTCAATATGGCCTTAATCCCACCTAATGTGGGGTTGGCCAGTATCTTTGTAAACCAAGAATTTTACTCTGAGTGATTGGCCCATTTGGCAACCATATCAGATGAGCATGTTTAGTAATGGGAGTTTATACTCGTAGGCCCACTAATGGATTACAGGGTAAATATAGTGTACTGTTATTTAGGTTTGTGACAGAAGTTAAGTCTGACAGTTTATTTTGTTAGACTAAGTCTGATTTTCTGTTTTGTTAGTGGATAGTATATGAGCTTGGTGATTTGTTACTGAGCAACACAAGTTGGTTTGAAATTAGGTACTAAGACTGGTCCTGTTAACAGACAAAGGATATGCCTGGTGATCTGTTCAGTGGGTGATATTGCAAATTTGGTTCTTTTGCTCCATTAATAGATAAGATAGGATACACTTGGTGTTGTTATCATGGGTGACAGGATTTGTTTGAGGGTTACATAAAGTAACTTTGTTTTTTATATTTGGGAGTTATAGGGTGAATTTGTGTGCTGTTCTGTCAGTGAGTTAAAAAGTAAATTTAGGGTTCTCTTTGTGGTTAGGGTTTGTTTTTTAGCACTATTTCTTGGTTTACATAGGGTTAGTGTTCTGAAAGGTTCTGACGTAGTTGTAGATGACATATATTATCTAATCAAAAACACCTTGGGTGAGAAAAAAAGGTGCAGCCAAAAAAATATTTTAGCATGTGACTTAAAGGATCGAAATCAAAATTGGCGGCCAAACTTCAAGTTGGGGAATGATGGTAGGTAAAACAAAATACGTGGCCTAGCTAACTAAGGAATGAATATTTGCTATAAAATTCTTATCAATGCTATAAGTGTAGCTACTAATTTTGATTTCATTCCTGTAAGTGCTCAATCCTTTCTTGGCTGCACTTTTGTTTTACACACTGAAGGTGTTTTTGATTAAATATCATGACTTCTTGTCAATACACACCAATAAACCACAGCAAGAAAGTGACACTAGATAGTAACCAACATTAGCTTTAGGATCGCAACCATATTATTCAAAACAGACCTATACTTTACAAAACCAACCAGATTCTTTAAAATATATGGTGGTAATGTTTCCTTTAAAACTGTGTTAATAACCTCCTTTATAGTAATGCCATGGAAACTAGATTAACAGGTTTTTGTCATCACCTGCATGCATTTGGT